AAAAAAAAAAAAAAAAAAAGATAAAAAAATAAATAAAAATTATAAAAAGTTTATCTTCACACGCATAACAAAAAATTAAATGAAAAAATTCATTAAAAAAAAAGTTAAGGAGTAAAGGAAATTTTAACAAAAAATTTATTAATGGTCTAATTTAATTTTATTATTCTAAAAAAAAAAAAATAAAATAAAATAATAATAATAATAATAATAATAATAATAATAATAATAGTTAAGAATATATAAGGTTTATTTTAAGGAAGAATTTTCCTTAATTTAAAAAAAATTTTTTTTTTTTTTTTAGATATACTAAATTTTAATAAATTAAATAATATTTTTTTTTTTTTTTAGAAATTCTACGCAAAAAACTTAATTTTTAATAGAATTTATAATCAAATATATGTATATGAATAATTTTCTATATTTTTTACATATACATAACAAATATATAAATATATATATGTATATATATATTTTTTATATTTATATATATTTATTATATATTTTTTTTAAAATGAGTTAAATAAAAAATAAATTTACAAAAACTTTAATTTTAAATAACTATAAAATTTACTAAAATAATAATAAAAAATATGCACATAATATGTGCGCTATATAAAAAAAAAAAAAAAAAAAAATAAATAAAATGTAAAAAGAATGATATGCTTATAAAGTTGAAGATTTTTATTATAAAATTAAAGAAAAAACATATCTTTGATCAAAGGATTTTTCATAAATATTCTAAATGAAAAATATTTGTTTTTACACATAAAAAAAATATACATAATAAAAATTGTTCAATATAAATATTTTTATCAAATATATATGAAACAGTTTTTATTAAAATTTTCTAATAAAAATAAATATTATATATGAATTAGCATAAATTTTTAGAAAATATTATTTACAATTTTTAATATTTTATAATGAGGTACTCTAAATTTATATATATGTGTATGTAAAAGTATGATGCAAAAAAATGAAAAGAGCACAAATAAATTTTAAGATATGGATAGATTATGAAAAATAAAATAACACATACAAATTTAACTTCATAATATTTTATTATATGAAGTTATATTTTTAATTTATTATTTTTGTATTTTAAATGTTTTTAAAAAAAACATACATATTAAAAAAAAAATAAAAAGTGTTAACTTTTAAAAAAAATTGTTATAAAAAATACATTTTAAATTAATGAATAAATAGTTCACTTATGTAATTTATCAAGTAATCTATTACAATTACAAATATTATATATATATATTTTTTTTTTTTTTAGTTTAATGCTATTTTGATATTAGAATAAAAAGAAAAAAACTGAAAAAAAAAAAAATAAATAAAATAATTACATTATTAAATAATTTATATATATATTCTCATTTTCATAATTATTATATCATATTTAATATTTAAAATAAAAATGTGAAAATATTTTTATAGATAATTTAAATAATAAAAAAAAAAAAAAAATCATGGAATCATTGAAATTTCAATTTTTGTATAAAAAAATAAAAGATGTGTTTACTTGAAGTATCTGCTAATCAACCCAAAGGAAGAATATTTAAATATTTTATTTTATTTTTTTATTTTTTTTTTTTAATTTGTAAATATAGTAAACATCAGATTTAAAATATGTTAACCCAATAATAATATAGTTAAAAATTTTAGTTATTTTTTTTGTTTTGTATTATTGTTAAAAATATTAAGAGTTCAAACTAGTTAAAAATTCAAAATATACATTTTATTGATATGTTTTTTTTATAAAACACACTGAAATAACATTGTATATATATATATATATATATATATATATATATAATTGTATAAATGCATATAAATAAAACATTTAAAATTGAAAAAAATTTAATTAGAATGTATTAATAAGAAATTTGAAAAAATTTTCATATACAGTTAATTAGAAATTTATAGAATTTTAAATAAATAACTTTAATTTTAGTATTACTTGTTTTAATAAAAAAAGAAAAAAAAAAAAAAATATAAAAATTTCTACATATATATAGAATTCAAAAAATATAAAAGTATTATATATATATGTTATCTTTTTAGAATGTTAATTTTTTACAACTCCAACTTTAGCAGCTCTAAAAAAAAATAATTTTAATAAAAAAAAAAAAAAAAAGATTTGAAAACATTTATAAATAAAAACTAGGAAAAAATAAATAAAAAGTAAATAAGAAAATATATAAAAGAAAATTTATATTTTACCTTAATATCCTGTCTTTGATTTTATATCCTTGTTGAATGACTGTTGCAACTGTTCCCTTTTCTTTCGTATTATCATTTATTTCAAAGATTGCTTCATGAAGTGATGGATTAAATTTTTCATTAATAGGATTATATTTATTTATTCCATATTTATTAAAAATATTATGAAGTATAGTTTCAGTCATTTGAATTCCTTTATGTATATTACTTATTTCTTCATTGTGTTTTAATGATTCTTCATTTATATTTTGAATAGCTAACGATAAATTATCTGCTACATCCAATAACGATTTAGCAAAATTAGTAATACAATATACTTTGTTATTTTCAATTTCTTTTATATATCTATTCCTTAAATTTTCATTTTCTGCTAAAACAGATAAATATTTTTCTTTCAATATTTTGTTATCTATTATTTTTTCATCCATATCTTTTTTTACTTTTTTAATTTCTTTAATTAAATCTATTTTATTATAATTTTCGTAATCAATTTCTTCAATATTTTTTTCTATATTTTTTGTTTCTTTTTGATTTATAACATTCTCATTTTCATTAAGATTGTTTTCTTTTTCTTTATTCTCTACTTTTTGTTCTTTTTTAAAATTTTCTCCATTACTATATGCTTCATCATACATTGATGAAGTACTATAAGATTGATAACCTATTTTTTTATTCGTATTTCTAAAAAAATTTAAATAATATCTTCTTGAATGGAATAACTGCATTCCATATAAATTTGAAGAGTATCTAGCAATAGACCCTCTCTTTAAAAAATTTGCGTATTTCATATTTATAAAAAAAAATAAATAATTTTTTAATTTACAAAAATATATTTAAAGATTCAAAAAAAAAAAAAAATTCTTAATTGTTAATTAAAAGAAAATATCTTTTTAAAAAAAAGGATTTTTCTTTGTGCTTAATTTTTTTTTTAAAGTTTTAAAGAAAAATTTTTATTAATTCATTAAATGTTATTATATAATATAAAGAAGTAAAGGTAATTCCTTAAAATTACATAAAATTATGTTAAAAAAAAAAAAATAAATAAAATAAATAAATAAATGAAATAAATAAATGAAATAAATAAATGAAATAAAAATATATTATTTAAAAAAAAATACGAACAAAAATCTTCTATACCAATGTTCTTGAAAAACTTTTAAAAAAAATTTCGAAAAAAAAAGAAAAAAAAAAAAAAAAAAAAAAACTTTTAATATAAAAAAACCAAATTAAAAAATATAAGGATTTAAGTTGAACAAAATTTACATATTATTACTATATAAGCATAACAGAAAATACTTGTTTTATTTTATTATTATAATTTTTTTAATAGATTTTAATATATTAATTCCAAATATAAAATCTTTATAAATATTATAAAGAAATAATCTTTCATGGGTTTAGAAATTTATGAAGAAAAAATATTGTTAACATAGATAAAAATTTCTAATGTTTATTTTTATTCCTTTTTAACATTATTAATGGCATATTTTTATACAATATTAAATATTCTGAATTAATTTATTTTTCATAGTTTATCTTTATATATATGTAATAAAATGAAAAGATTCTTAGAAATATATGGATTGTGTAAACTTTTCTAATTTTCAAGAAATTCATAAGTTTATTTTTTTTTTTTTTTTATATTTAATTAAAATATTTAAAAATGAATATAAATTCTATCCAATACTTAAAAAATGTTAATTAATAAACAAATATCTTTAAGTTAAACGAATGTTTTAATCAAATAATGAAAAAAATAAAATATATTAATTTTAATAACATTTATGCTTTTATTAAAAATATTTTTTGTTAAAAAAAAAAAAAGATACAACTATGAAAGTGTATAAATTATAATTTTTATATTCTCAAATATAAAATACATAAATTATTTTTTTAAAAAAAAAATTTTCTTAAAAAAAAAAATATAAACTCTATGTGCATATTAAAGAGATTTCAAAACAATCGCAGCTATTTTATTATTTTGGTTTATTTCATCTTTGGGTAAACGATTTTCGTATTTTTGTTTTGTTACATTGTTCTTTACTTTTAATTTTTTTTCTTTTTTTAATTTTTTGTCTTCTCGCCCAAATGTCGAAGATGAAATTTGTGCCCTAATAAAAAAAATAAAATATATAAATATATATATATGTATACATGTATATATATATATGTGTATATATATATGTATATATGTATATATATAATATGTAAATATGTTAATAAATATTATTATGTACTAATATAATAGCACTAAATAATTTTAAGAAATAAAAACATGCAAGTTAAGAAAAATTTAAATACAATAAAGTTCACATATGTTATATAATGAATAATATAAAATTCGATTTTAAAAATATTGTAAATTTTATTAAAAAAAAGTATTTACGTATTTTTTTATTTTTACATTTTAAGATTATCAATTAAATTTTCTCTTTTTCTTTTTTGTCTTTGAATGTATTTTATATCTTCATTGGAAATTCCTTTTTGATCAAACTTATTTTTCATTTCTCTCATTTTCTGTTTCATTTTTTTAATTTCTTTTTCTTCTTCTTTTTTTTCAAAAGGATCTTCATAAAGGTTTTCGTTGTCTTTATATTCATGTACGAATTTTAATTTCTCTTCGTTTTCTTTTATATGTTTTTTCTGATAACGCCTAACCCATCCTTTCGAATTTTTATCAAAAATTAAACCACTTTTATTTTTTTTTTTCATTAATTTTTTTTCAGCAAACATTTCCCATTTTGTACTTTTTTTCGTTTTAGGAATTTTTGAGTATCTAGGTATATTAAAAAAATTATTTTTTTCTAAAAAATAAATTAATTCTCCATCATTATGTTTTTCGTTCTTTAATTCATTAATTTTTTTGATAATTGAAGATAAATTTTCTTCCACTTTTATCTTAATGCTAAAGGAAAATAAAAAGTTGGATGGTATAAATATATATATATATATAAATATATATAAATATATATATTATAAAAAATTATTAGGTGTACTATCTACTATTATAATATTTAACATTTTATTTTCTATATTGTTATTATATATTTTTATATAATTTTTATTTCATTACTCATCTTCTTCGTTAATTACTGAATTATCATAAGCTAAAAGATGTTGTGGGCAAAATTCTATATCCATATTTAAAAAAAATGTATATTTTTTATATTAATAAAATTGTGAATATATATATAAAAAGTTAATTAAAGAAAAAACTTAAATGTAAGTTACTTATTTAAATATAATTATATATATTTTATACATTGTTAAAAATAATTGAATGAA